GTATGCTCCTGCAGATATTGTTGGATTTCATTCATATGAACCCTAGGCAGTGAATCATGTGGAGTATGGGAACTGCAGTTCAACACCCCTGGAAAGCCACATACTGTCAACCTGTTTTATAGACTTGTGTTCTTGATGCAGTCATCCTCTCAGCTCCTATCTTACCCCCTTTATAAGGCGCATCTTGCAGGAATCAAGTTTGTCAGACACACCAAACAATCCCCAATGTACTCCCAACCCATACAAACAAACTGAAAGGGGAACATAGTGTGATGCTAATATAGTAATCATGGGAAGAAACTTTGAAACACACTCCCCACACCACTGCAAAGAAATTATGCTATAATAATAATAATACTATAATAAATAATCAAACTTTATTTGTATACCGCCCTATCTCCCCAAAGGTAGTCAGGGTGGTTTCCAACATATATAATGGGAAGCAGTAGTCTTCCACAATGGGCAGGAACAGATATGATTCAAGAACAGGCTGCCTTATCTGCACAATGTGGTCATTTCACTGACCGAGCCAACAATTATGCACATTGTAGAAATTAACACCAAGACATTAGAGAGATGGGCCAAAACTAACAAAATGAAGTTCAACAGTGACAAACGCAAGATACTCCACTTAGGCAGAAAAAATGAAATGCAAAGATACAGAATGGGGGATGCCTCGCTCAACAGCAGTACATGTGAAAAAGATCTTGAAGTCCTCCTGGACAACAAGTTAAACATGAGCCAACAATGTGATGAGGCAGCTAAAAAAACCAATGGGATTTTGGCCTGCATAAATAGGAGTATAGTGTCTACATCCAGAAAAGTCATGCTACCCTTCTATTCTGCCTTGGTCAGAACACACCGTGTCCAATTCTGGGCACCGCAATGGAAGAAAGATGTTGACAAGCTGGAATGTGTCCAGAGGAAGGTGACTAAAATGATCAAGGTTCTGGAGAATGAGCCCTATGAGGAGAGGTTTAAAAAGCTGACCATATTTATCCTCAAGAAGAGAAGGCTGAGAGGTGACATGATAAGGGCCATGTATAAATATGTGAGGAGAAGTCATAAGAAGGCGGGAGCAAGCTTGTTTTCTGCTGCCCTGGAGACTATGACGCGGAACAATGGCTTCAAACTACAGGAAAGGAGATTCTTGACCGTGAAAGCAATTCAGCAGTGGAACTCTCTGCCCTGGATTGTGTTGGAGGCTCCTTATTTGGAGGCTTTTAAACAGAGGCTGGATGGCCATCTGTCAGGGGTGCTTTGAATGCAGTTTTCCTGCTTCTTGGCAGGAGAGATTGGACTGGATGGCCCACGAAGTTCTTCCAACTCTATGATTCTATTATTCTAACTTAGGATTCTCTCCATCAAACAGCATATCTTTCATGAAATCAGATAAGATTTTTAAGCAGAAGAATCCCAAGTCAGTTTTTTAGTAGTGCCAGCTCCTCTTTGTTTATTTATTTATTTCATACATTTGTATCCCGTCCTTCTCACCCCCCGAGGTGAGGTGGACTCAGAGCAGCTTCACAACAAGTACTCATTTGAGTGCTAACCACAGCCATAGACACATTTAAAACAAATCATTGAACTACAATACATTAAAAACATTTGGCTAAAATCACGCCAGTTTAAAAATTATTTTCTGGGAAAGTCCATTGTCATACATATCACATTCAGTCTTACTCCCAATTACTGCTGCTACTGTTCAAATGCTCGGTCCCACAACCAGGTCTTTAGTTTCTTTCTAAAGGACAGGAGGGAGGGGGCCAGTCTGATGTCACTGGGAAGGGAGTTCCACAACCGAGAGGCCACCACAGTGAAGGCCCTGTCTCTCATCCCCACCAGCCGTGTTTGCGATGGTGGTGGGATCAAGAGCAGTGCCTCTCCAGCGGATCTTAAACTTCATGATGGTTCATAACGGGAGATACGTTCGGACAGGTAATATGGGCCGGGACCGTACACGGTTTTAAAAGTTAAAACCAGCACTTTGAATTGTGCTTGGAAGCTGATTGGCAGCCAATATGTGGGATAGACTTGAAGATGCTGAACTCATGTATATTTAATGTTGACAAAGCATGTGACCTTAGCAGTATGTGTTCAGCTATTACTCTTGGATATTTATCAGTTTTCTGTATAATAATAATAATAATAATAATAATAATAATAATAATAATAGTAATAATAATAATAAACCTGGTTATGGCTCACTAATAGAACACTGAAGAAGATAGAAGGCCTGATTCTTGCAGCCCAGGAGCAAGTCATCACAACAAATGCAATTAGGGCCAGGATTGAAAAATCAGCGGATGACCCAAAATGCAGACTGTTCAAGGAAGCGGATGAAACCATTGATCATATTCTCAGCTGCTGCAAGAAAATCGCAGAGACGGACTACAAACAGAGGCACAACTCTGTGGCCCAAATGATTCATTGGAACTTATGTCACAAGTACTAACTGCCAGTAGTAAAGAACTGGTGGGATCATAAACCTGCAAAGGTAGTGGAAAATGAACACGCAAAAATACTGGGGGCCTTTCGAATCCAAACTGACAAAGTTTTTGAACACAATACACCAGACATAATTATGAGGGGAAAAAAGTTTGGATTATTGATGTCTCCATACCAGGTGACAGTCGCATTGACGAAAAACAACAGGAAAAACTTAGCTATTATCAAGACCTCAAAACTGAACTGCAGTACAGGTGGTCCCAGTGGCAATTGGCACACTGGATGTTGTGCCAAAAGATCTCAGCTGGCATTTAGAAACTATAAACATCGACAAAATCATGATCAGTCAACTGCAAAAGGCCACCTTACTTAGATCTGTGCGCATAATTCGAAAATACATCACACCGTCCTAGACGCTTGGGAAGTGTTAGACTTGTGATTTTGTGATACAAAATTCAGCATATAGATCTCGAAATTCAGCATATAAATCTCGTTTGCTGTGACGTACTGTGTTTTTGTGTCAGTAAAATAATAACAACAACCACAACTCTTTGCAAGTGAGATCCAACCTCTTAGCCGGCTAGTGTCTGGCGGCTGATTTTATGCCATGCTTGGTGACCTCTGCTGGTGCCTACAATTGTCCGAGCGTCACCCTGCCGATCATCCATTGACTATGAAATCATTGTATGACAGAACCCCACAGACTGGCTGGCGAGACAGTGCCCCTAGCCAGTTATAAATATACTGTTTTGTTTGGGCCGGGAGATGGGGGCGAGGGAGGCAGGCAGGAAACGGGAAGAAGAGAAAGTGGCTGGGAGTCTCCAGCTGGAAAGGGCCCCCACCTCATTTGCACCCTCCCTTCCTCTCTCAGTTCTGACCTCTGTGATGAAGTTAGATCTATCTGCCCTCAATGAGTGCGCCTGGCAAGAATAGCCTTGCCCACAAACAGGGGAGGGGGGCAGGCTGAATAGAAAAGGTGGGAGATGGAAAACCTGATGGTCTGGTTTGATTCCAAGGGGAGTTGAAAAAGAGATTGAGAAAGAGAGGGAGAGAGAAGGAGGGAAGGGAATTGAGAGGGGGGGGGGGGAGAGAGAGAGAGAGTTTAACTCCTTTCTTTCTGGAGCATATTAGGAATACTAGACCAGGCATCCTCAAACTGCAGCCCTCCAGCTGTTTGGGCCTTCAACTCCCAGAATTCCTGGCAATTGAACAAGCTTGTTAGGACTTCTGGGAGTTGGAGGTCCAAACAACTAGAGGGCCACAGTGTGTGGACACTGCGAGCTCAACCACATCTTGTGGTGGCTTGTCTTGAAAGCAAGGGAGAAGTCACTGCCTCCCACTGCCTTTAATGTCCACTGGCCCCGGGGATTTGTAGTTCCCCAAGCACTACACTAGGGGTGCATCTACACCAAGCATGGGCAAAGTTGGGCCCTCTAGGGGTTTTGGACATCAACTCCCACCATTCCTAACAGCCTCAGGCCCTTTCCTTTCCCCCCTCAGCCGCATGAACAGCTGAGGGGAAAAAGGAAGGGGCCTGAGGCTGTTGGGAAGGTGGGGGTTGGAGTCCACAACACTTAAAGAGGGACCAACTTTGCCCATGCCTCATCTACACTGTCAAAATAACCGCTGTGGCTCAATGCTACAGTATCCTGGGGTCTGTAGTTTGGCAAGGCGCTCCTTTGGCCGGGAAAGCAATAGACCTTGTGAAACTAAAACTCCCGGGATCCTAAAGCATGTCTCCATGGCAGTGAAAGTGGCGCCAAACTGCTTTCATTCTTCAGTGCAGATGGGACGGCCTCCCACGCGTTCCCTTTTCTTTTCTGAGTGGTTGTGTGTTTTCCGAGTTGTGGCCACGTTCCAGAAGCATTCTCTCCTGACGTTTCGCCTGCATCTATGGCAGGCATCTTTAGAGGTTGTGAGATCTGTTGGAAACTAGGACCTTTTCTTTTCTTTTCCTTTTTTTTAAAACCTCCTCGGGAGCAATTACTCAGCCGGAAAGAGAGAGAGAGAGAAAGAGAGAGAGAGATGAATGAAGTTCACATGCTGGGAAGAGAAGGAGGGAGGGAAGGAAGTAAACACAAAACAGAATTCCGCGCCGAAGGAAGGAAGGAAGGAAGGAAGGAAGGAAGGCGGACGGAAAGAAAGAAGCCGGTGCGCGTTCGGTTGCGCTTCCACGGCTGGATCTAGACTGCCCTATAGTTCAGTTTGGAACTACATTATAGGGTCAGTGTAGACCCACGTAATGCAGTTTGCATTGACCCTAGAACGGGGTTCCAGACAGTGTCCCGCGCCTTCTTCCTTCCGAAGCGACAATCCCAAACCACAAGTGAGCAGAGACCCTCCCAAAGAGAGGCAAGGTGGGGAGACTCCCAGAGAGACAGACCCAAGAGCAAATGTCATCTTCCCGCAAAGAGTTCCTATCCACCCAGGGCAAAAGAGAGCCACGCAGGGCGATATATGCGGGGTCGGGCTCTCTCTCTCTCTCTCTCTCTCTCTCTCTCTCTCTCTCTCCCTTCTTTCCTTCCCACGCAGGACCGGCCGGCGAGACTTACTAAGCTGTGGGGCTGGCCCTCGGCGCGACTCCCTTCGTCGGCGAGCGGCTCCTTCTGGGCTCCGGACGGCGAGCTGTTGTCTTCCCCGGCGCCCCGCCCCGAGGGCTGGACGCAGGACGCCTCCCGCCTCCCGCCTCCCTCCCTCCCTCTCTCTCTGTACACAAGGAGGATGGAGGGATGGAGGGCTTGGACCAGGCTCCGAGCGGAAGGGAAGGGAAGGGAAAGGAAGGGAGTGCTCTCTCCCTTCCCCTCCGACGCGCCTTGGCCCTTTAAGGGGCACCAGGCAAACAGGGTCATGCTTGGCTCCCGCTCTTGGCCTCCACCGAGCCCACTTCCCCAGCCGGGTGTAGCTTCTCTTCCTTCCCCATAAAGTTTCCCTTCCTGTCCCTTCCTAACTAAGGGAGGGAGCAGCTGCTTCAGGAGAAGTTGGGTCCTCCGCCCAAACAGGTGGAATTTAGGAAGGCTTGCCTCTGGTTTTGAGAAGAAGACTCCGCTGCGGCGAACGAGAGGGGCGCGCTTTCCCTTTCTTTTCAAAGAAAAAAAAGTTATTAAGAATTTCTAAATACAATAAAAGAAAAAAAAACGAGCCTTTGGTTTGGTTCCAAGACACACACACACACACACACACACCACTTGGACATCAATATCTGTGGGTGCTCAAGTCCCATAATGCACAATGGCACCCTGAAATGGAGAACCTCCTCCTCCTCCTCCTCCTCCTCCTCCTTCTACTCCTCCTCCTCTTCCTTCCTTCTTCCTTCCTTCTTCTTCTTCTTTCAGGACACAAAAACACATTATGTCACAGCAAACGAGATCTATATGCTGAACTTCGTATCACAAAATCACAAGTCGAACACTTCCCAAGCGTCTAGAACCGTATGATGTATTTTTGAATGATGTGTGCAGGTCCAAGTAAGGTGGCCTTTTGCAGATTGTATCTATTATTATTATTATTATTATTATTATTATTATTATTATTATTATTATTATTATTTATATCCCACCCCCTCTCCCCTTATAACATCATAATACAGTACAAAAAGTGCAAGTCACCTTGTCTGTCTCCTGAGGAATCTATATAACGACCAAGTAGGAACAGTAAGAACAGACCACGGAACAACCGACTGGTTCAAGACTGGGAAAGGAGTATGGCAGGGTTGTATCCTCTCACCCAACCTATTCAACTTGTATGCAGAGCACATCATGCGATGTGTAGGGCTTGATGAATCCAAGGCTGGAGTTAAAATTGCTGGATGAAACATTAACAACCTTAGATATGCAGATGATACCACTTTGATGGCCGAAAGGAGGAGCTGAGGAGACTTCTAACCAAGGTGAAAGAAAAAAGTGCAAAAGCTGGGTTGCAGTTAAACATTTTTAAAAAACCAAGATGATGGCAACCAGACTGATTGATAACTGGCAGATAAAGGGAGAAAACATGAAGGCAGCGACAGACTTTGTATTTCTAGGCACAAAGACACAGACTGCAGCCAGGAAATCAGAAGATGTTTACTTCTTGGAAGGAGAGCAATGGCCAATCTCAATAAAATAGTGAAAAGTAGAGACATCACACTGGCAACAAAGATCCACATAGTTAAAGCAATGGTATTCCTCGTAGTAACCTATGGATGCGAGAGCTGGACCATAGGGAAGACTGAACGAAGGGAAATAAGACATTTTTGAGCTGTGTTGGAGGAAAATTCTGAGAGTGCCTTGGACAGCAAGAAGATCAAACCAGTCTATACTCCAGGAAATAATGCCAAGCTGCTCATTGGAGAGAAGGATATTAGAGGCAAGATGAAGTACTTGGACCACATCATGAAAAATCAGGAAAGCTTGGAGAAGATAATGATGCTGGAGAAGATGGAAGTGAAAAGGAAGAGGGGCCGACCAAGGGCAAGATGGATGGATAGTATTCTTGAAGTGACTGGCTTACAGGGAACTCTGGCGTGGGCTGGTCCATGAGGCCATGAAGAGCTGGAAGTACCTGAACAAATAACAAAACAAAAAGTACAATACAAAAAATTACATAGTATGGGATAAACAGTTGAAACACATCAAATTGTAAACATAAAACATAAAATATGACACCACAAATAACAAAATAACATTAGAATAAAAACACAGTTATTTCCTATGAGCTAAAGGGGCTTGCTACCCTGATCGAGGTAAATCCATATCATAGAGATTGACCAATAACTGCCAAAAGCCTGTTTAAATAACCAGGTCTTCGAGTCCCTCCTAAATGCTATAAGGGTGGGTGCTTGTCTGATCTCCCTGGGGAGGGCATTCCAAAGTCAGAGGGCCACTACTGAGGCTACCCTCGTCCCCACCAGCCTTGCTTGTGATGGAGGTGGGATTGAGAGGAGGGCCTCTCCAGTGGAATGTAAGGCCCAAACAGGTTCATGGGGGGGGGGGGGGTGCAGTCATGTAAATATGCTGGACCTGAGCCGTGCAGAACTTTATAGGTAATAACCTGCACTTTGAATTGAGTCAAATCAAATTTTAGAATTTTCTTAAAAAATATCTTCAATCCATGAATGGATAATACATGCCTATGGACAGCCGAATCTATGTATTTAAAAAAAGAGGAGGGAAAACAGCCAAAAGCAAGAAGAAGAAGAAGAAGAAGAAGAAGAAAAAGAAAAAGAAGAAGAAATAAAATTAGCATCACTTCAAACTTCTTTAGGATCAGGCATGTAGCCGGGGGGGGGGGGGGGTGGGCAGGGGGCTTGCCCCCCCCGCCGCCTCCTGAACAATGTCGCGGAAAAGGCCTTACTGGTGCATTATTTAAACTGTTATGTTTATTCATATCATGATCTGATCACCATACTCAATATATCCCATATGCATGGGGGTATTGGGGTAATGATACAAAAGGTTTGCTAGGCTAGACCCTCTTTCACTCAGACTCACCCCCCCGAAACTCAGCCCCCCCCCAAACCCCCCCCTGAAATTTTTTTAGCCCCCCCCCCCCCAAAACGAAATCCTGGCTACGGGCCTGTTTAGGATGATTAAAAAATCTTACATCTCCAACTAAAATATTATTCATACACTCCTGTTACTACATAAATCAAGCCTACTAGTTGTCAACACCCACAGTTCTTATATTATTCTCTTTTATTTGCAAACAGACAACCAAGAGCTCCCAGATTTTATCAAGCTTTTGAATGAGAGAGGACTCTTCTATCATGCTAGGCTGCTGCAATGTTGCACTTTCTACATCTTTGAGGGATATTAAGCACTGTAGGAGGGTGGTCTGAAGAGAACTGAGGGTTTGCCTACGGCGCCTTGAATTAATGTAGTTTGACAGCATCAGAACTGTCAAGATTCACTGTTATGGAATCATGGGAGTTGTACTTTGATGAGGCACCAGCACTCTCTACTAGAGGGGGTTATTGGCTAAAGCAGTAGTTCCCAACCTTTTTTTGACCAGGAACTACTTTGACCAGGGACCAAAATTTCATTGGATAGACCACATCAGTTCTAGTTTCTGATACAGAACACTTGCCATCCAGCAGTCACCATCTGCTCGCCCACAGAAAACCATATTTATAATCTAGAGCTGATGTGGTCTATCCAATGCAATTTTTTGAATCAGCACCCCAAATAACCTCAGGAATAGGCCTAAAAATGAAGACAGCAAGGTGCCCTCGCTTACAGGCACCACATGGCATGGCTCTCTTCAGGGGGAGGGAGAAAGAGGAGAAGCAGTAGTCAGGAGGCTTATTGTTGCACCTTTCATGGGTAGTCTCTTCCCTCCTGACATCCTCGTTCCCTTGGCACTATTAGAGGGTTTTGTGAGACAAGTTGTTCTTGTTGCAATGGTGTAGCAATGGTGAGGCCGTGGACTATATTTTAGTTCTTGTGGTCTACTGGTGATCCACAGACTACAGGTTGGGAACCACTATTCTAAAGCCACAATTCCCATGTTTTGAAAGCATTGAGCCATGGCAGTTCAAGTGGTGTCAAACTGCATGAATTCCACAGTGCAGAGCAGGCATAGGCAAACTTGCTCCCTCCCTCCAGATGTTTTCGACTTCAACTCCCACAATTAATAACAGACTTAGTCCCTTTCCTTTCTCCCTTCAGCCGCTTATGTCTTGTCTCAACGTTAGGAATTGTGATGTCTAAAACACCTGGAGGGAGGACCAAAGTTTGTCCATGCCTGGTATAGAGGCATCTCTTGCCTGGAAAAAAAAAGACTGCCCCAAGTATGAAAGTGAACATCTCTTGTTAGCACAGATCTGTTAAATATTTTTAAATGCCATCTCAAGAAATTGAAAAGTATGGAAAATTTATGCAGTATATATGTAGCTATCCAATTCCATTTAGTTCAAGTGTTCCAGCTTTGGCCAGACTTTAAACATCTTGCTGGAATAGCCTTCAGAATAATAACTGTTGGAGGAGGAAAAGGAAGAGTGTGAAATGTACTGATTCCTAAAAGAGAGCATGAGCATATTTCAAGTCAGAAATCTATGTATTCTTTAATGTTTAATGCTTTTGGGGTCTGCTACTGAATCCTACTCTTTCAAGTTGGAATGGAACACTTATATAGGAGAGAACAGCCTCCGCACATCCATTTGTACTAGGAATCCCAATCCAGATGCAACTGAGTGGCACTTCTTTGTTCCAGTTTCATAGATTTTGCAGCAGAGATAGTTAGGAATGGAGTCTTCTTTCCATCTGTGTCATGGCCCTTACATCCAAATAGCAGCTCAAACTTCCTGTGCCTCAGGGCTATGATTTAGCTTTCATGGTTGATGTTTGTATCTTGAAAATATGGCTCCAATATGCTATTTTTTCTATATGTAGGAGTTAAGTTTTCTTTCATTGGCTTTGAAAATGATTTTTTTTTCTTGAAGATTAGGAAGCAGAATCGGTATTTCTTGGAATGTTAGCCATATAGAACAGGACCTGACACTCTTTTTGACTAAGGATTGTCAAGAATAAGACAATCCCTGTTACATTTGTTGCCAGTTTTGGAATTGTCTAATTCAGACTATAGATTTATTCAGCTCATAACACTCATTTATAGTATGAGCTGAGGCCCATTTTCCCAAGATATTCTTCTCTGGCTTAG